CGCGCCCGGCACGGGACCGCGAGGGCGCTAGGCCGGGCGTGGGTCGCGGCGGGCCGGGCTTCGGGTCCCGCCGAGTTTGCGGTGGGCTCCCCGGAGCGCCTCCTTCCTTCGGATTCGGTTACTTACAAGAAGCCCCCGTTCCTGGGTTGCGGGAAGGTGGGGAGCTCGGTCTTTGGGTCGTAGTCCGGTCACGAGTAGGTTCGGACTGGTTCGAGTTACCAGTCGTCGTAAGCCGGGGTGCGGGGTGGAAATCCGGGCAATGGCAATTTTACGCGCACGATGGGGAAAGTTTTACAATAAAACTGAAGGTGTTTTCTAGATCGAGCACAGATGTGCAGTACTTCAATTAAAAAGAGAAAGGAACAGAGACACCGGAAACTTTCTGAAACGAGTGGTGAAGCAGAACTAAGAGTAGCACTGTGTACACTCAGGCCCGTGCTTTATATATATATGAATGTTCAAAAGTAGTGGCAGGTAACGCCTTTTGATAAAATACGTAACTCTCAGGAGTTCTTTAATGAAGTAGACCGAATGCAGGCAGTTCATCGATAAAATACAGGATGAAAAGATAATGTTCACTAAACTCCAGAAACTAGCATTGCAGTTATGAATATAAGTAACAATGCATTTGTGGCTGTCATCAGTAGAAATCACAAATATTTTCCTATCACAGTAGTTGCAAATATCTAGAAATACTACTTTTTCATTTCTTTAAAATTATAGTATTAACATGTCATTGCATTTGCAGTGCAGTAGAGAAGCTCATACACATGTATATCTGCAGGGTTTTTAAAATCACTATGATTTAGTGGTTTCCTGCTAAGTCTTAAATATTTTTAATAACATTATTCAGAGAAGAGGTCCACAAGCTTTTACCAAGAAGATGTAAGGCACAGAAAAAGCTCAGGACTCCTTTTGTAATAGCAGCAATCTAAGATTCTCAGATTTTTTCCCCCCAAACTCAGATTTTATTCGTACATTTTAGATAAACATAATGATCACAGTCACCATAGAGAACTTGTACCTGTACATGATATAATTTGATTCTTTTTTTCCCATTCCTCTACACTCCCTTCAACCCTTCCTCCGCTCCCCATTTACAAAAGCTTTGTTTCCTGTTATCATTTTTTCCTTTTCCCTTCATTCGTTTCCCCCTCCCTCTTCCTTGTTCCCCTCCCCATTTGAGCATTTTCTTCCTGTTTCACAATACCTGTTTTTTCTTTATGCGTCTCTAAATTCTGAGCGTTACAAAAGGTTTTACTGAGCAGGGTGAGGTGGTGCATACTTATAATTTCAACAGTTAGGGAGTCAAGGCAGGAGGATCACAAGTTCAAGTCCTGCCTGAATGGAAGTGAGACCCTCTCTCAGAAAGGGGTGTGGGATATAACTCAAGGGTAGTCAGGCATAGAGCACCTGAGTTCCATCCCTAGTACTGCAACAACAACAAAAATCTTACATAATAGATTGCTGAGTTATAACTTGTGACAAATTGTTGACTGCATGACAGATAGTGGTTTGATAGTGTCAGATTGACTTTGGAGTGATTTAGAGATCTGGTTCCTGAGTGAAAGTTTGTTAAATTAAGCTCCTGAGAAACTAACAAGCTGTTTAAAAAATACTGCCCCAAAACTTTGACAACCTTGGTGTACAGTTAAACACTAAGGGGCCAGTTTGGGATTCATTTTTTTTTCCACTAACACCAGGTGGTAAGTAGTTTGCTTATCTCTGCACAAAAATTCGGAGTGAGGGTGGAAACCGAAGTGCTTGCCATATTTAGGTTTTGAGAAAAAGGAAAACAAGCCTGCTAGTTTATCAGTATAAAAGTAGTTTTGTTGCGTCTAAAATGTTTTTAAAAAATTGTTTGCCAGCCCCTTTAGAAATGCATTTTTTTTTTTTTTTTTTTTTTTTTTTTTGAGACAGGGTCTCGCTGTGCAGTTCAGGCTGGCCTTGAGCTCACTTTGTAACCCAGGCTGGTCTCAAACTCGCAAAGATCCTTCTGCCTCAGCTTCCCAAGTGCTGGGATTACAGATTTACAGGCGTGCACCACCGCGCCCAGCAGGATTTGTGTAGTAGTTGAATTGATAGGAATTGTACAAGAACTGTCTACCAGCTCTCCAAAAGAGCAAACCTCATTCTCCCTGTTTTGAAAGATGAATATATTGACTTCATTTATGAATTTAGAACCTTCTTACAGCATTAGCAGTTTAGTAAAATTTAGAATCCTCCTTCCAAAGACTATAAAATTAATTCTGATAGTAAAGCATTTCGTTTTAGTTTGATTCACCATGTAAAGAAGTATTGCTCTGATATGGAAAATATCTTTTTGTTATCCAAATATTAAGCTTGCACCATTCTTTTAAGTTTGTTTTGAAAACCTGGTCTGTAATGTTACAGAAAAGGGAAAAAGAAAGGCTTTTAAAATCATCTCAGATGTCTTCTACCTTGATAGAAGCCTTACAGTATCATAACTTTCTGGTTGTGTGTGTGTGTGTGTGTGTGTGTGGTGCTGTTCTTTACTGTTTCCTAAATTAGACATATTTTCCAATTTAATTTCCAAAGAAAGAAAAAGTCAGTTTTTATCATTCAAAACAAATTCTTGTCTTAAATAGAATATTCAAATTGCAAATTTGAGTGTAAGTTAACACTGCAGTCTTGTGATACAGCATTCAAGTAGTCTAAAACATATAATACTAAATATATACCTTAGCCTTTGAAGTTTTTATAAAAAAAGTTACTGATAGGCCTTGTTTTACTATTGCTTTAGATAAAACCAGTTTTTTTAGTTCTGTTGACTCAGAGTTTTTCATCTCTGAAAACACTATTAAATTACCAAACAGTGTCCCGTTTTTTTTTTTTTTTTTTTTTTTTTCCGGTACCGGGAATCGAACTCATGACCTCGCGCTTGCCAGGCAGGCGCTGTGCCACTGAGCTAAATCCCCAGCCCGTGTCCCGTTTTATTACAAATAGTTTGCCACACAAATTACACCAATGACTATGGTACCAAAAAATTAAAACAGATTACCTATACTGTATAAATTTAGTAAGCCAATGCATAGAGATTTTTAAATGCGTTAAAATTTGGCTCTTCTAATACTGCTTAAGTCTTGGAATATATTAGAGTCACATTTCTTAGGAATGCACACACAAAAAGACTTCCAAACTGAATAAATGAATTCAGCTGTATTGTAGGACACAAAATCATTATATGAAAATGAATTGTAAATTGGGCGTAATGGCGCACGCCTGTACTCCCAGCACTAAGGAGGCTGAGAAAGGAGGATTACCGCTAGTTGGAGGCCAGCCATAGTGACACAATGAATTCAACGCCAGCCTGAACTACAGAGTGAGACCCTGTCTCTTTTGTTTTTGGTCTTTTTTTTGAGACAGGGTCTCGCTGTGCAGTTCAGGCTGACCTTGAGCTCACTTTGTAGCCCAGGCTGGTCTCCAACGAACTCACAACTATCCTCCTGCCTCAGCCTCCGGAGTGCTGGGATTACAGGCATGTGCCACCACACCTGGCGGAGACCCTGTCTCTAAAAAAAAGCAAAAAGCAAAACGAAACCAAAAAAGTGAATTGTATTTCTATATATTAACAATGAACAATCTGAAAATAAAGTTAACAAAATAATTTCATTTATAGTAGTATCAAAAATAATAGCATGCTTACAAATAAATTTAATAAAAAATGCAAAACTGTGTATCTTGAAAACTATGAAATGTTGAGAGAAATTAAAGAAGGCCTAAATAAAGTGCGGATGGTGGTGCACACCTATAATCCCGGCATACTGGAGGCTAAAACAGGAGAATTTTGTTTGTGGCAATCCTTCCGCTTCAGCCTCCTGAGGGCTGAGATTATGGGCATGTGCCACCATGCCTGGTTAAAACAGGAGAATCTTAAGTTTGAGACCAGCCTGGCTAATAGCAAGAGCCTGTCTAAAAAAAAAAAAAAAAAGAAAAGAAAAAAACTTAAAAGGCCCAATATAGCCAGGTACTGCACAATAATGTTTTGGTCAATGACAGACTGAACGTAGGATAGTGGTCCTATAAGATTAATTGCCTAGTGACATTGTAGCTATCTTAGTTTACACAAATATACTCTGTGACGTTAGTGTAGTGCTGGAATGGTTTGGCACATTTCTTAGAAAATATCCTGTCATTACTCATAACATGACTGTAAATGGAAAGGAATCCTCTGGTACAGAAAAACTCTGTATTTTAAGGAACTCGTCCTCGTCCTAAGGTAGATTAGGACGTCCGAAGGTTATAGCAAAGCAGAAGTTCTTGTCTCTGCCAAATCCTTTCCATTTGTCAATCTCTGGGATTAGTGAGTTGATTCGTCTCATCAGTTGGGGAATAGTAATAAAAACACTTACTAGTAATTAGTAAGTTTAATTCTTTTAGACATTCTGGCTGTTGCTCACTGTATGAAGATGAAAAATAACTCAGTTATTCTTTTCTGAAGTAATCTGTAAAATAATGGCATTAACCATGTTCAGGGATACTCCATTGCATGAACATAGCAGTATATTAAAACTAGTTTCTGGAGAGGCAGTTAGGAAATAGATTGGAAATAAACATTATGATCTTATATTAATATGTTGTTGCCCATAAAAATAATAAACTTAATTTCTTTTACCAAAACGCACAATTTGTGACAAGTGCATTAATTTTTCCTTAAAATATACATGACTATTTTCTTTAATGCAGTCACTTTTTAATGTGGAAAGAGTAAAAGAAAAACTTACCTTTCTAAGAAATCTCAGAATTATAAAATCTCTCCAGCATAATGTTGTCTTTTGGTCATTAAACAGAACTTGATAATAATACGAACTTGCCTACAAGATAGCAGTGAGAGATAAACACTTATTGAGAATCTATGACCATTGAGATAATGTACATTGATGTGTACCAAGCTAGCAATTTGAAAGCATTATGAAACTGTCGAGTATTTTATGCCCTAAATAGAATGAATACAGATTGATTTTTTTCTAAAGGCTTTTGACTCTTTTCCTTTAAAGAAATTATAGTGACACTGAAACTGAAGGAGAGATTTTTAATTCCTTCGTGCAATATTTTGATGATAACTTGGTGCGAAAAGTTAAAGCAATGCCATTAGTTGAAGAAACTTCTTTACTTGAAGATTCATCAGTGACTTTGCCTGTGGTGATAATAGGTAAGTTATTGCTTTTTTTTCCCAGAAAATTAGTTACTGCCCTTAATGCTTTCATAAATCTGCAGTTAGGTAATCCAAGTTTTTAGGATTGCATTGAAAAATATTCTTTAAAATAGCTCATAGAGAACACTTTGATTGTTGCTACGACAAAGAAGTGATATATAAATGTGTCCTGGGTGATAGACATTCCATTTTGGATGATCTGTTCATTATACATTGTGTACAGGTGTTGAATTGTCTTACTGAACCCTATAAATACATACAATTGCTGTGTCAATTAAAAGTTAAAAAAAAATTTAAAGGATAAAAGTAATGGATAAGGAAGAAGTGTCCATGGATGAGGAAGGATAATAAGGGAATTAGTTATAATTTAGAAAGAAACATATTACTATTATTATTATTGTTGGGGGGTGCTGGGAATTGAACTCAGGACCTCACGCTTGCCAAGCAGTGCACTGTGCCATGGAGTTATATATCCCCAGCCCCTAAAAAGAAAAATGTTATTAAATTACTAGTTAAAATAACTAATAACCCAATCTTTGGCAAGAGTAATTGAATTGTCTGACGTTAGCATCTGTGTTAGAATGTAATACCTTTTATTGAAGAGCTGTTAATAGCCGTTGATAATATTGGAACTCTGTACAGAACCTATTCTGTGTATATTATTGGCTTATACTTTACAACTCTGTAGTCTACTGATCTTGGCAGGGCACACAGGAAAAGCAACTCAGCAATTGAGTGACTTGTGTAGCTACTAACTAGTGTTCAATGGGCCACAGTGTGGTAGAACTCTGCAGTCATGCCTATAATTACCTTAAACATAAAATTACTATTACATATGCTTTGTACCACATCAGCAAATAGGCATATAACCTAGTGAATTTTGTGTGTGCGCGCACAATAATGAGGGTTGAGCCCAGAGCTTTTTCACTGCTCTAAATCCTCACCCCTTTTTAAAATGTTTTTATTTTGAGACAGGATCTCACTTAAGTTGCTCAGGCTGCGCTCAAAGTTAGGTTTCTCCTATCTCAGTCTCTCAGAGTGCTAGCATTAAAACCATGCCTGGCTACATAAAATATTAATAAAATATTTCAGAATTACAAACTGTTTTACAATTTTATTCATTTAATTGCCTGTCGTGTACGTTTTCCATAGAATACTCAAACTCAAGGTAAGTACTATGAGGCCAGGCCAAAACAGAAATAGGTGCCTTGGTGGTATATGACTTACTGAGGTTCTTTCATACCTTGTTTCAAAGTTAGTAGGAAGGAAATAAAGTTATGCTCTCTGACTGACATGTCAGGAAGGCAGGGAGAAGGAGGAGATCAAGATTGTTCTCTATTAGAGTCTCTCCATGACATATATTTTTTGTAGCACTTTTCATCCAGGATACAAATATCATGTTTCATCCTCGTTACCCTTCCACACTGTCTAGGAATGAGTAAAGGAACCCTGTCTTTCAGAAAGGAAAAACTACCTTCATCTACACCTGTCCACCCCTCTCCTGTCAGAATGTCTGCCTCTGTTTTGCCTTACCTCACTCATTAGGAGCTTAACTTAGAGAGGCCCATTATTGTGGTAGATATACCATCATCCTGAGCAAAAAGAACTTTCTTTTTTTTTTTTTTTCCGGTATCAGGAATCGAACTCACGACCTTGCACTTGCCAGGCAGGCGTTGTGCCACTGAGCTAAATCCCCCTAAGTTTCTTATGTATGTATTTTTTTGCTGCTGTTAAAATGAATTACCACAGATGTAGTGGCTTTAAACAACATAAATGTATTATCTTAATTGTTCAGTAGGCAGAAGTTCAACATTGATTTTACTGTGCTAAAATGAAGGTATCAGCAGAGCTCTATTAACTTTTCAAAGGTTCTGGGGAAGAATTTATTTCCTTGCCTTTTCTGCTTCATAGAGAATGCACACATTCCTTGCCCTGGACTTGCTTCTCCATCTTCAAAGTCACTAATGTTTCTTAATGTTTTTCAGTCATGTTTCCGTCTCAGCTCAGCTGAGAAAGGGTCTCTGTTTTTAAGGTTTCTTGTGATTACAGCAGGCCTTCTGGATATTCCAGGCTACTCTCCATCTCAGGGTCCTTACATCTACGGAGTCCTTTTGCTAGGACTGCTGAGAGGGGCCAGTCTGCCTTTCAGAAAGCTATTTCCTTTTTTAATTTTTTTTATTTTTTAGTTTTTTTTCCGGTACCAGGAATTGAACTCATGACCTTGCACTTGCCAGGCAGGAGCTGTGCTCCTGAGCTAAATCCCCAGCCCCGAAAGCTATTTCTCTATAAGCTGCCTATTTGCATTTTTTACCTGTTGTCTTTTAAGTATTACATCGTTTTATTTCAAGGAATTCAGCTGTTTGCCTCAGATCTTAGCTCTCTTTTGGTTGTTTGCTTATTTATTTAATTAATATACTGTTTTTTAAAAAAAGTTTACGTTTTACAGAAAAATGAAGTACAACGTTCTCATATACTGTTCTTCTCTCCCTGCCTCATTTCCTTTTTTCTTTTTTTTTTTTTTTTGTGTGGTACCAGGAATCAAACTCATGACTTGTGCTTGCTAGGCAGGCGCTTGCGCCACTGAGCTATATCCCTGGCCCCTCATTTTCCTCTATTATTAAAATTAGTGTCTTGCATTGGTATGGTATACTTGTGATAGTTGATGAATCAATATTAGAACATTATTGTTAACTAAAATCTGCCATGACATTAGAATTTACTGTCTGTATCTACTGTATATAATCATGTCATTTATAAACAAAGATGGGTCTTCTCAATCTTCATATCTTTTATTTGCTTTTCTTCTCTTACTGCATTAACTAGAGCATCTGTTTAGTATTGAGTTGTAGAAGGGGTAAGAAGCAGGACCCTTGTCTTATACCTAAGCTTAGAGGGAAAGCATTTAGTTTCTCACCATTAAGTATGATATTAGCTGTAAGTTTTTTATGTATGCTTTTTATCATGTTGGGGCAGTTGCCCTCTATTTCTGCTTTGTTGAGAGCTTTTTTTTTAGTCATGAATGAATTGGATTTTATTAAAGCTTTTGTTGAGTGTGTTGATAACATGAGTTTTCTTTTTTTTTATTCAAAGAAATCAACTCATCTCAGGTCCTAATTCCCATTTATTTGCTTTTAATTTTTTTAACTTTAAAAATTAAAACTACCAAAACAGCAATGAAGACAAAATCAAAACAACACAAAAACAGCAAAAACAATACATGACCTCAAAACAAAATGATAGAATTAACAATGGTTGCTATGTTACATACTGTTATCTTCAACAAAGTTGCTCAGTCCACCAGACATAAGAATGTAAGATTGATGAACAATTGATTTATTTTCTATTCTGCCTTTTAGGTTTTCTGTCATGCTTAAAGCTTTCCTGCACTAGCATTATAAGTAGAAATATTACTCTTTTCTAGCATTCTTATGGTTTTAATATTCTTACTCATATATTTGTGCATATTTTATTTGGGGTGATGTATAGGTCAAGGGAAAGGATTTGGAAGGATAATGATGACTAGGAGTTGTCTCAGTTGGATTAAATTTTTGATAGGGATAATAAAGATATGGCAAATGAGACTAAAGAATTACATAAATGAAAGTAGTTTAGTGGGGTTCAATAAGAAATCCATTTTGGCTTTGGTTAAAGGGTGTGTACTTTAGGAAGGTAGTATTAGGTGCTGAGATGGGAGAGATAGTTGAGGTGAGAAAGAACATGGAGAACACTGAAATAGAAACAAGCAGTTAGCCCTTTACAGTGGTGACATGAGGAGGATAGTGGGGTACCAGACTGGTCTGAAGGCAATATGTGAAATGATTTGGGAGCGGAAAGGAGAAACAGGAGACCTTTTGTTTCTTTCTAAGTGAGAGGACAGGAGTGAGAATAGCAAAGACAACTTTTTGCCTATAAGTGGCAAAATAGGTTTAGAACCAGAGTTTAATTAGAACCATACTTTGAGATGGCATAGGGTTTAATTTAAAGAGGGCACCTAAAAGAAAGGATTTACAAGTTTGTTTTTGAACACATGATGTTTATTACTGATGGGTCAGTCAGGTTTAGTGAAATATTTGCATAATGTGAGATGTATCCTTGAAAAAGACAATAGAACTAATTTTCAGAGATAGTGGAAGCCTTGAATATATGAGGTTCTCAAAATAGAATAAAGGTCAGAATCTTGTGAGATAGGGAAGAAAAAAACAGATGAGAAAAACCACCTTCAAAGTAGGTGTAAAACCAAGCAATAAGATTAGAAATGTATGCTTTTCTCTCCTTTTTAAAAATAGGAAACGGACCCTCAGGAATATGCCTTTCATACATGTTGTCAGGCTACAGACCATATTTATCATCAGAAACCATACACCCAAATACAATTTTGCATAGTAAATTAGAAGAAGCAAGACATCTCTCCATTGTTGATCAGGTAAATTTATTACATGTCAATTTTTAAAATTTGTTTTATGCCAAAACAAAAATAGTTTTCATTTATATGAACATTGTTTCTTAGAAATACTTCATTCTAAATAAAACTTTCTGACATTTTTGTTTCATATTTGTTGTAGTTAGGGATTTACAAGGGGAACAGTTCAATACAGGACACATAATTTACAAGATTATTTTATAATAGTCACCTAAAGACTTTAGTACAAAAGAGTGCAGGAAATCTGTCCACACACTAAAGACCAAAAGAATCCAGCTAAGTGCCTGGATCCCACGGCAGTGTCTTGCATGAGTCCAGCTGGAAGCCTGGAGCCCAAACAGTGTCCCCCAGGAGTCCAACTGGAGGCCAAGAGTTTTACGCAGGCCTGTTTTCAAGGATCTGTGGTAAGGAGGGGCCAAGGTCAGTGGTGGAAGCTAGGAAGTCAGTGCCAGCAGGATGAAGGATCTGTGCCAGCAGGCTGAGGGGTCTGCACTGGAGCCAGGAAGTGATGCTCAAAATAAGAACCAGAGCTCTCCCAAAAAGCACCACAGCCATCCTCAGCAACAACGAGATCCTGAGCTCCTCTGAAGATGAGGACAGCCGTGTTGATATCAGGAAAGCCAGCAGGACAGGCTTTTCTAGGAGATTGAACAATGCATCATCTTCTTCTCTGGAGCCAGGAAGCAATGCTCAAAGTAAGGACCAGAGCTCCCCCAAAGTGAACCTCAACCACACTCAGTGACAAGGTCCTCGAGCTCCCTCGACAGTGAAAACAGCCATGTTCATATCAGGAAAGCCAGCAGGACAGGCTCTTCCAAGAGAATCAACAGCTTCCTGACAGCTTACCTTTTCCTCTCCAGTTCTCGTTTTTATTTTGTTGGCAGCAATCCTCAGGTGGGCCTCCCACACCCAGCGTCACACACTCAGTTCAGCTGGGTGTTACAAGTTGACCACCAGTTGTCAGTCCACAATATTCATAAATACATATTCTGCCAAGTAATACTGATTTATTTTCTTGAATTTATCAGAGCAGAATTTCCCAAATTATCTTCTGATGAAGTTTTTTTTTTTTTTTTTTTAAGAGAAGAAGAAAAATAGAAATAAAACAATTTCAAATCAGGCTAACGGAGTAACAATAATTAATACATTGAGCATTGTTATCTTCATAGTAGTGACTCAGAGTCTGATGCAGTTTTTTTGTTTTTTTTTTTTTTTTCTGATGCAGTTTTAATAGGTACTGTGTGCTCAAATAAATTTGGGAAGTGTGCTGCTTTTTATTATTTGAGCATCACAGCTGACAGTTGCATACAAAAAGCATCTTCTGCTTTATAGTACACAGATCAGTTGGTTACCTTATACCAGTGATGGCAAATGTTTTAGAACTTTCAGTGATAACAAATAGCCAGCTGCAGCGTAGGTGCCATAGGTTCGCCCCCACAGCACTTTCCCTGTTTATTTTACCAAAGAATCTGCAAAGATCTCAAGGAATTTCAATATTCTGTAACATACTCTATGGGAAGTACTGAATTGGAATCATAGTCTTTACTAATATAACAGCTGTTTTGGCCTTTTTCAAATTTTTTTTCTCCCCATTTAGGACTTGGAATACTTGTCTGAGGGCCTTGAGGGCCGATCATCCAATCCAGTTGCAGTACTTTTTGATACACTTCTTCATCCAGATGCTGACTTTGGGTATGATTATCCATCCATTTTGCACTGGAAATTAGAACAACATCATTATATCCCTCACTTAGTTCTTGGTAAAGGTCCACCTGGTGGGGCTTGGCATGTGAGTATATCTTTCTTAGTATTTTAATTGTATGTGAATTATTTATCTTGATAAAACCAACTTCATTCTTAAGAATTATGATAAAATTGATATATATGATGCTCATACATTTATATCTGAGAATTTTAATGCTGTACAATCTAGTTAAGTATCGGTGTATTGCCTATAATAGCTAAGTCAGATTGTTTTTCTTTGTACCGGGAATGGAACTCATGACTTTGTGTTTGCCAGGTAGGCACTGTGCCCCTGAGCTATATCCCTGGCAGCTAAGCCAAATTTTATTACAACTGTATTCTTAGACTAGGTATTTCCCTATAGTACTTTTTTCTTTTTTCAGTACTGGGAATTGAACCCAGGGCCTCATAATGCTATGCAAGTATTCTACCACTGAGCTACATCCCCAGCCCTTTTTATTTTTTATTGTGAGACAGGGTCCTGCTAGATGGTGCTTTGTAACCTCGCTGCCTTAGCCTCCTAAATAACTGGGATAACAGGGATGTGCCACCATACCCAGGTTTTCTTCTTATAAAGTTATTAATCCCCTGATAAGGCCCTACCCTAATGACTTCACCTGACCCTAATTACCTCCCAGATCTCCATCTCTAAGTAACATTAAATTCAGTATTGGGCCTTCAACATAATAATTCAGGAAGCAAACAGCACCATTTAGTCCATAGCAGAGGTTAAACCAGAGAACCAGTAGATTAAATAAGTAATAGGTATTCTTTGGTCCTGTGTCCTTAGCAGGTAACACAGTGTCTAGTATTGTCACTATGTAGTGAGTGTTCCTATGTTGTACAAATGTTGATTTAGCCTGCAGTATTATGAAATACATGCTTCATGGAAACTTTAACATAATAGATATCAGAATTGTAATACAAACTTCAGTTGGTCATGTCTGTGGGCACTGTTATACATTAAAAATTGTTTGTAAAGTAACTATTTCAGGCTATCAGGATGCATTCTTGAAGACAAATATGACTGATTGTTTTAAAAATCTTTTTATGATGTAGCAACTACCAAATTATTTGTGCCTTTTGGTATTTGTTTTCTACTTTTTAATATTGACTGTATTTAAGCATAACCAGTTTATAATAAGTGGCGTCTGTTTAAATGTATAATTTGGTGAGTCATGACTGTTTGTAACAGAGAAACCACTGATACAAGATAAGAAACCTCAATTGGACCCTAAACAGTACTTGGCAACCTTCTCTATTTCCTTAGTAAGTTCTCAAACCTCTTTTTTTCTCTTTTGTTTTTAGAAACCCTTTTAGTTCTCATTTTGCGGAGAAAATAGAATTAAGGTAGAACTTCCACAGTTTCAGGTTCAAACCTATGAACTTATCTTTATTCATGCTATTTTGCTTCCTGTTACAGTGGAAGAGGCTCATCTTCCAGCTGTATTCTGGACCCCGATCTTAAGGATGTTATTAATTTATTTTCCTATATCTTCAGTCTCTCTGCCAGCTCTTATTGGTCAGTGTATAAATATGCTAAAATTATTTCTTCTTAAAAATTTTTAAGGTGTCACTTGATCTGTATCTTCTTCAGAGGCAGCTTCTTGAGATGTTTACCTGTACATACTGTCTTCATGCCTTCGCTTCCTGTTCCTTAGCTCATTCATTCCAGCCTCTATTGCTGGTCTCCACAGGAACTATTCTTTTTAAAAGGTCAGTAACTCCCATTTTTGCTTAATTAGATGGGGGTTTCAAAACTTCCTGAGCTCGGCAGTATTTGACAGTGTTAATGAACGTCTCAGGTTCTTTGAACTCTCAGCCTTGTTGATTTCCTTCCTCTCCAGTCACTCCTTTTCAGTTAACCTTTGTGGTCCTTTGCTCTTTAAAACACTGCTTCTACCACTGGGCGTGGTGGCACATGCCTGTAATCCCAGTACCTTGGAGGCTGAGACAGGAGAATCTCCAGGAGTTTATGATCAACCTGGGCTGCATAGTAAATTCAAGGCCAGTCTGAACTACATAGAGAGACCTTGTCTCAAAAAAAATAAATAAATAAAAATAAAACCTGTTTCTACAAACTCTGTCCCAAGCCACTGTCATCTTGTCATACTCTGGATAATCTCATCTGTTTCAGTGATTTAAATATGTATGCTGATTGATTCCCAAATAAAAACTTGTGGTCCTTTTTGTTCTTTCTAATATATCTAAACTAGATATATTCCCTTCATGATTGCAAAGGTATCCAGAAACTCAGCATGCCTAGAACTGTCCTTATCTTCTAATTGATCATTAAATGGCTCTCTCACATGGTTTTTCAAGTCAGAATTCTGAGAATCTTCCTTGATGTTTCTGTCTTCCGCTCTCACATCAAGTTAGTCACCAGATCTTCTCCATTCCCGTGCCTTGTTTTCCTTTTTTTGTGGTAGTTTTTTTTGAAATAGGATCTCACTAAGTCACTAAATTTCTAGGCTGGGTTTGAACTTGTAATCCTTCTGCTTCAGCCTAGAAGGCTTGGTTTTCCTTTTATATTTGTTCTTTCTTTTCCTGTTCTTTTTGCTGCTCTTTGAACCCAGGGCCTCATACATGCAGAGTACATGCTCTATCACAGAGCTAGAGCTCCAACCCATCATTTTTTTTTTTTTTTGATAAATGTATTTTGAGTCCATCTACTCTACTTTTATAGATTATTGTAAAAGTTTTCTAAATGGTTTCCCCACTCACTTTTTCTTCGTCAGTCGCTCTTCATACTAAAGCCAGATTGTCTGAAACACGTCTGATGTTATATGCATGCATTACACCCTTCAAATTATCCCCCATTTGACTAATGTGTAATATGCAAATCCCCTAATACATTTCATTATACCTGACATGATTTAGCCACTGGTTAGCTTCAGCCTCTTCTTTCTTCCTCCCTCCCTCTAGAGCATTTCATGCTCTAGCAGGCTTGTATTAAGGAGAGAAAGTTTAGGCTTAAGCTCAATGACTAACTGATACTCAAGGACTCAGAAAAGATGGTACGCTCATGGTTTAAATTTGTTAAAATAAATCGTTACAGATCAGCAGTAACAAAAGGTTCCTATGGAACAATCAAGGAACAACAGAGTAGGGAAGTCCTTTAATCTCCTAGCAGTGGACCGTACATGCCGCTTGTGTAGAGTTGCCAACCAGCAAACTGGGAACCCCATTCATGCCTGGTGCACAAGGATTTTTGTCGGCCTGTAGTCATAGGCCAGTAGTGCCTGTGTGGCTGATCTCAGCCACTCAGACCTCTGCCTACCAAGCAAAACCCGATGTTCACCACAGAGCACATTTGGTTACGATAAATGTACATGGTTTCACTGGTATAGCATGGCCAGCACTTCAGACATACAAAAATCACACTCATCAAGTAGAAATTTCCAAAAGCTTGGCTTGGACATTATCTCATAGGAGCCAGTAGACAAGGTCTGCTCCTGAAGACAGGCCTTTCTTAATAATGTGACCTGTTAGAGTAATCCAGGGCTGCTGAGTCTATCCTTTCCTGCATGAGGCTCAGTATCTCAATTCCTTGTAGGACATGCCATGTTCTTTCTCATTATTAAGCGGCCATACTAGTTTTTATTTTGGCCTGTTGTAGTCTCCCTTTCTAGGTACATGCTCTACTAGGCAAATGCTTTTACTTTGAGCCACATCCCTAACCCTAACATTTTCCCTTTCCAATGGCACACTCCTTAAAGCCCATTTTTAGTCTTGAAGAAATAGATACTTGCCTGTCCCTGTAGTACTTTTGCCTTGTTTGCCTATCTTAATACACTACAATCTCCATGACAGCAGACATTTATGGCATGTAGGTTGGCATAAGAAAAAGGAAGGCCTTTGGGAGCAAAATGAAGAGCACAAGGAACTAGGGCTCTCAAGTATGTGGAAGAACTGGTGCAGAGATGATAAAGAGGTTGGTACCAAAAAGTAGAGTTATGCATGAAGGTTTTAAGAGTTCTAGGTGAGACTGTTACGGTTTCAAAAAATGTCATAAATATAAAATTCTTTTGCCGGGTGTGGTGGCACACACCTGTAATCCCAGCACTCAGGAGGCTGAGGCAGGAGGATCATTGTGAGTTCGAGACCAGCTTGGGCTACAAAGGGAGCTCAAGGGCAGCCCAAACTGTATAGCAAGACTTTGTCTCAAAAAGACAAAAAAAAAAAAAAAAAAAAAAAAAAATCTTAAGTTTCTCGTAGTGACTGAGCTTCTAGATTCTGATCCAGTTTTCAGGGCTAGTCTGCCTCTGAGCACCGGCAGTTTGCTGCATTCTTTCCCTGTGGTTATCTGTGTGATGACACAAATACCTCCCAAGGCTTAACAAGTAGTGAGTACTCTGTTAATTAAAGTAATAATAATAATAATAATAATAATATACCCTATTCCCAATGCTGGGCTATATATAAATAGAACAAAAGAAGCTGTTGTCTAAAAGAGTTGGCTAAGAACTCTTTGGCCATTGGAATAGCTGCCTTCAGCATTGGCTTTTTTGCCTCTGCCTCCCCCCTCCTCCCCTCAGCAAAGTAGAAGCAAGTAGGCTAGGGAAGCTTGAAGGACTCACTTTAATGACAACACTAGCCCAACAATGAATCTGTTTCTCAGGCAACCGCTGCTTATTTTTCTATTCTTAGGAAGAGATGCTGCTGTATTCAGTCAGCCAAGACTTCAGAATTATAATTGATGGAAAAAAACCATTTCTTTTAGTTCTTGAAAATCTATAAATAATATTAAAGTAGAAAACATCTAAGGTTGTGGAAATGAATATTGTTTTCTTTAAAAAGTGAAAGCATTAAATTTATTCCTTAACATGTACATCTGAATTGCTACGTTGATCACAGGCCAAGCTACAAGCATTGTGTAGGCATTGGGTAGTACTATAGATTTATAAATGTATAGCTACATGAAAGAAATACAAATAGGTAAAACCACATGATGAAACGGTATAAAAGTTTATTGTAGGGGCCAGGATATAGCTCAGTGGTATAAGGGCCTGCCTGGCAAGTGCAAAGTCCTGAGTTCAATTCCCGGTGCCACAGGAAAAAAACAAACAAAAAGTTTATTGGAATAAAGTTTTAGAAGTAATTTGTTCAGCCATTTAGGACTGCTTTGAGCATACTTACTCGGTCTTAATTATAACTAAGATGGATTTGGCTTCAAAAGAATCCATGTTTAATTGCATTTATTTTAAAACTCTACTCTTCAATTCTACTAGAATATGGAAGGCTCCATGTTGACAATCAGCTTTGGAAATTGGATGGAGCTACCTGGACTGAAATTTAAAGATTGGGTGTCTAGCAAACGAAGGTAAAGATCAAATGTTAATTAAAATTCTTCGGTACATGATGAAACAGAAACTGTTGGAAAATTTCACAATAATTGTGACCCTGTCTTGGATGAAAAATATAAATGTACATGTCGTTCAGAGTGCTTTCTTGAAGCAGTGATTATAAAGAGATGGTTTTCATTTAAAGGTGTTATAAAGCTAAGTACATAGGTGAAGAATTGTTCACAGATAGGTTTCCTGTGACTTTAATTGTGGATTTATGTCTGTTCTGTTAAATTGCTTTGTCTTTTCTTTCTCGTCTACCACATATCATTTTCCACACTTTTATCTACTTATTTTTATGAATGGATATGTAACTTCATTTATGCTTATCTCATGTATATACACCTACAGTATTTGACTTTTAGGGTAAAGATTATGGTTGATAATTTAGAATGACGAAAAAAATTAGGATCTCATATAGTTAATTACTTGGATATTAAGGTAAATATTTTCATTAAAAATAGGAAATAGGAGTAAGAAAAGAAATACCATCTTAGAAAAATACAAATTGTAATTATTTTGGAGCAAAGACCTCAAAATTTAAAAATTACAAAAATCCCTATTATTTCTAAGAATAGAATACTAAATTAGATAAGAATTACTGATGTAGAGAACTGACTCTAGTTTGACCATTAAGGGAAACAAGATAAAGCAGGAAGCTAATTGGTGGAGTTAATTAACTTATGTGAGGGTGAGGATGTAACATTTGAATACTTGACTTCCTGCTGAGTAGAAGCTGTGTAAATTCATAGAGATTTTCTTTCACTTGAGCAAATGAGATCATCATGGGTAGAGATTAAACCTTCAAAAAAATCTTCTTAGGTTTAAAAAAAAAAAAGAATTACATACAGGTTTGAAACTTAAAGTTTGTAAAGGCAAGTTGTACAAGTGCTTGGTTTTTATAATTAAGCAAGTAAAATTGCTCAGCATGTTTTTCCCTCTGTAAAATGAGCAAGAAAAGGGGAAGTTTTATGATTTTATCTTGAATAGCATGTGAAAATAAATCTTGTGGTAAATATTAGCTTTAGTTCCTGCTTTTGCATAGTGTGAAGGTCCTGAGTCCTGACTGACTTCCCATGTTGTAGCCCTGGCAAATAAACTAGTTATCATAAAATGGAGATGATACTAGTAACTAGTGCAAGGATTTCCTGTAAATACTGAGAATTAATACAGTATATTCAAAATCTTAATTTTAAGAAAAGCCTTAAAGAAACATGTTTATAAAATTTAGTTACAAATTATGTCAAATGATTAGGTCTGATTTTATTGCAACCTGCTTCTATTTAAAGAATGGAGTTGGACTGGGGATTTAGCTCAGTGGCACAACGCCTGCCTGGCAAGTGTGAGGTTGTGAGTTCTGTTCCCGGTACCGGAAAAAAACAAAACAAACAAAAAACAAAGGAATGGGGTTAAGGGAGATTACTATGTTTTGCTTTAAAATTCAAGTGGAAAAAAATAAAATTCAAGTGGAAAATGAAAATGTACGAACACACATTTTCATAAAGAGCTTACATTTTTATCTTTTATGAGTAGCAAAACAACAAAATGTTGCATTTTATTTACTTAGCTATAAGATGATTTTATTCAGCAGAAAGCTAGATCTAAATTATTTCCTGTCATTGGAAAAATAGCAACTTAATAAAAAACATGTTAAGATTTTAAGTTTATCTTTGTAAAATGTATAGATATACAGTTAGATCAGAATTTCCTAGTGACTATTCAGTTGATAGTTACAGATTATAATTGTAAGATATAGAAGTCTATAGTTTTTAGATCTCTGCATTTAATGCCTTTATTCATTTAATGAAAATCATCAAGCACTAATTTGAGCATATACTGTGAATGACACTAAGGAAACAAAGATGTATTAAGTACAGCCTTTGCCCTCGTGGGATTTTCTCTGTTGATAAAACTAAGTTATTGATATTTTCTTCAATAAAAAGGAAAAATGTCAAACTTAGTTTGTAAAGTGTTAGGATATTTAGCTAAAGTGGTCCAAAAGAATTAAAAAGTTGTAAAAGCTTATCAAATTGAGTATTAATCATCGAATGAAAAGTACTATATTTATAGTGTATTTTTTATTTTAATAGGAACCTAAAAGGTGATCGAGTTATGCCAGAAGAAATAGCTCGCTACTACAAACATTATGTAAAAGTCATGGGTCTTCAGAAGAATTTCAGAGAAAATACTTACATAACCTCTGTATCAAGACTCTACAGAGATCAAGGTGACAGTGATGGTCAAGACAGAGATATTTCAACAGAGCATTTACAGATCGAGAAGTCAAAATTTGTCAAGAGAAACTGGGAGATCAGAGGTTATCAGCAAATAACAGATGGTTCTCCTGTTCCCTTTTGCCTCTTTGCTGAGAATGTAGCTCTAGCAACCGGAACATTGGATTCTCCTGCCCATCTGGAAGTTGAAGGGGAAGATTTTCCTTTTGTGTTTCATTCAATGCCTGAATTTGGGGCTGCTATAAGCAAAGGGAAATTTCGTGGCAAAGTGGATCCAGTGTTAATTGTAGGTTCTGGGCTTACTGCAGCTGATGCAGTACTGTGTGCTTATAACAATAATATTCCTGTGATCCATGTATTTCGCAGGCGGGTAACTGATGCAAGCTTAATTTTCAAGCAGCTTCCCAAAAAGCTTTACCCTGAATATCATAAAGTCTATCATATGATGTGTACTCAGTCATATTCTACAGACTCAAATCTTTTATCTGATTATACCAGTTTTCCTGAGCACCATGTGCTTTCATTTATGTCGGACATGAAATGTGTTCTTCAAAGTGTCTCTGGATTGAAGAAAATATTTAAGCTGTCTGCAGCAGTAGTACTGATAGGTTCTCATCCTGATCTGTCTTTTCTGAAAGAACAAGGGTGTTACCTCGGCCATAACTCCAGCCAGCCAATCACTTGTAAGAGTAATCCTGTGGAAATAGATGCATATACTTATGAATGTGTTAAAGAAGCCAACCTTTTTGCATTGGGTCCTCTGGTCGGAGATAATTTTGTTCGATTTTTAAAGGGAGGGGCACTGGGTATCACCCGCTGTTTAACTATCAGACAGAAGAAAAAGCAGCATTTATTTGTTGAAAGAGGAGGAGGAGATGGAATAGCGTAAAGCAAATTTACAAGTAATTTGAATGGACAGTTTATCATTAAACATTTCTATAGTGGTTTTGCAGTGTACTGGCTTAAATTTTCTGGACTTCAGTTAACTGGAGTGGAGCCTCAAGATACAGTAACTTCATTTTTTATGGTTACCAGAACTTGGTGTCTTGATTTATATTGTAATGTATCCAAAGTGTCACTGTCAAATAGAAACACTGCCAACTCGGTATACTTTAAGCTTTCTATTAAGTATTCTTTTTCTTCCACGACTTTTTGTGATCATTTTTTGTTATTTCTTATTTTTGCTTCTGAAATAGTACAGCATGAAATGTATAAAAATCATACATTTATTAAGCCAGAAATTGTCCTTACTCTACATATTAGGCCATCTTCTCAAAAAATGACCTAAGGACCAGCAACATCAATTTCATCCATAGTTTGTTAGAAATGTAGACACTGCAGGCCCCACAATATAATCAGAAACTACATGCTTAACAGATCCCCAAGGGATAGGTTTGCTCATTAAAGTTTCAGAGATACACTGATCTAAATGATAACGGGATATAATGTATGCTGGGTGGGATAAGGGTAGGAGGCCTTTTCAACTCAGGTTTTATTTATTTTGAAACTATCACTTGTATAAATCTAATTTATTACCAAATATGATGGCTTTTTAGAAGTATTTTTATTGTTGAAACCTTGACAGGTACTTCATATTCTTCTAATAATTTGAACATTCCAATAATGTTGCTATATACTGTGACATCCAGGAACCCTCCAAGGAGAGGTTTATTCTCCTTAACGACCATAACATCTAATTAATCTGATTTTCAGTTCAGTAAATTGTGGATGAAACTACTTGTTGCTTTGTGAATATTGAGTTAATGTCACTGAAACTAAGATTTGGGCATGGAAAGTACTTCTCAAGTTGTTACACTATTTGGGTATTGTCAGAATTAAAGCTTAATATGGAATGTAAAATTAAAATTTTCCATTCCAGAATGATTATTACTTTGAGATCTGTAATAGTATTTGTTCACTGCAGATGACAGCAGGTTGACACCGTGGTTCTTACTGGTTTTATTTGCTCTAACCTTCATTTAAGTTTATTGTGTTTAGTGTCTGTATTTCTACACAAATCCTCAGAATTTTTGGTGTAGAAAAGCCTTTCCAAGTTTGCTTTAGAAACAGATTTTCAGCCCACTCATCACTAGTTACCTCGTCTGGAATGTGCTCATTAAACTTCTAGTTCTGTTCTTAGAACTAAAAAGAGTGGACAAACGGATCAATATTTTTCTGTCCATTAGCTTGCAGTGCTGTGTGCTGGTTTACTAGGATTATAATTCACTTTAAATATAATTGTTTAGAGTATATTTTCTTGCATCACCTGATCACTTACATGAATTCTGAGACCCTTGGTAACTGTCAAGCCTGATTTTATAAACTGCAATCCAGTTTTAGTTTCCTCTTACATAATTTTCAAACAGATCTCCCATCTTACAGAAATGGTATGACATTGTATTACTGCACTTGACCCAGTACTTGCCTGTTTGTGAACTCTGAATCAGCTGGATCGGATAGTTCTCATGTCACTTCTAAATTGAAAATGACCTGATTTAGAGATGGTTTCTAGAGAAGGATACGACCCGTGGAATTTCAGTATATCTCAAAAGTCTGCTTAAACTCAGCCAACAGCATTTTTATGAGAGTATTCATTTAAAAAAAAAGACTTTAGGGAATCAGTAAAGTCCTAAATAAGCTGGGAAGATACCTTCCTCTCTGATAACCTACCTGTAATTTTCCAAGTTTCCTTCAGTCCTAGCTATCCTGTGTAGCATGTAACATGCAAGGTATTTCTCTGATGTACAGTACTATACTCCTATGTTCATTAATCTATTTTCTACACTATAATTCCAGATTTTTCATTACTCTTAAATATTAGTTAGCTTTTAAAGGACAGGAAAATTACTAAACACTTGACTATTCATAGGGTAAGTGAACATCTTTCCTATTTCTACTTTGGCAAATCATATGCAAATCATACTTAATATGTGTTGAAAGAATGTTTGTAAAACACAATTTATTGGTGATTTTTTAAAAAGCATACAATAAAATCAGCTTTACAAATGCTTCCAGTGTTTCTTGTAGCCTGAGTAGTGAGCCTTATCCAACTTTATTTTCAAAATCTAAGAAACTAATGTTTCCATGGCATCAAATTTTAGTTAACAGCTTTTTAAAAACCCTGAAAGGAATTTTAAAATATGTCAACAGACAGTGGTACAAAATTCTAAATAAATCCTGTGATTAAACAAAAAAGCAAGTCCTCTTATGTTCGCATTGCTGGAGCAAAAAGGTAGACTAAATTTAAGTACTTAAAAATTTAACTTGGTTACAGGAGACCTTGTTTCATGAAGCCATTTTGATCACATCAGATCATGATTTTTTTTTATTTTAAAGAGAAATGTAAAAAAAAAAAGATACAGGATTTCAAAACAAGAATTAGCAATGGTTGTTATATTACCTATTGTTATCTTCAACGAAGTTGCTCAGATTACTAGATGTAAGAGTGCAAGATTGATCAAAGACAGTAAGTAATAAAGCATTAGAAATGATACAGAGCTTCATTTAAAAAGATGGTAGGAATTCAACAGTGGGTCGGGCATGGTGGCACGCATTTGTAATCCCAGCACTCAGGAGGCTGAGGCAGGAGCATCATTGTGAGTTCGAGACCAGCCTGGGCTACAAAGTGAGCTCAAGGCCAGCCTGAACTGTATAGCAAGACCCTGTCTCAAAAGATCAAAAAAAAGAGAAAAAAAAGGAATTTAACAATTATATTGCATATTTTCTTCAAATGAGTTGTTCCAATTACAAGCTATAAGGATGCAGAATTGGCAAGAAAAAAATTTAAGCATTAACTGTTCGTTTTTTTTTTTTTTTTTTTGGTCTTGTCTTTTTGAGACAAGGTCTCGCTGTGCAGTTCAGGCTTGGCCTTGAGCTCACTTTGTAGCCCAGGCTAGTCTCGAACTCGCAACGATCCTCCTGCCTCAGCCCACGGAGTGCTGGAATTACAGGCGTGCGCCACCAGGCCTGGTTTAACTGTTCCTTTCAATAAACCAATAGACATCAGCAATACACTTGTCCCAGCTATCCTTGTATATACATATATATGGTTTTTTTTTTTTTTTTTTTACAAAAAATGATTTTTTTTAAAAACTCCATTGAATATACTACAGGGGAAAAGGGTCAAGGTCCCCAGGGTTAGGTTGAAAAGGGTGTGGCATAAGAAGTAACTTCTATTTTGAATTACTTCCAACCAGGCTATTCAGCAAAAAGGGTGTTTGGGGGGAGAATTAGGGCAAAAAGATGAGTGAAACTACAGTAGAGGAGGAAAAATAACCTTAAAAAGGATGATTCACACATTTTTACAGTGGTTGCACCAGTCTACACTCCAACAGTGGAGAAGCATTTTTTCCCCACAGCCCGTCCAGCATTTGTTACTGGTTGATTTCTTGATGATAGCCAGCCAGTCTTCCTGGGGTGAGACGGAATCTCAGTGTTGTTTTGCTTTTCCTGAATGACTAATGATAGTGAACATTCTTTCACATATTTATTTGCCATTTGTATTTCTTTATCACAGCAGTGTATATTCATCTCAGATGCACATTTTTGGATTGGGTCTTTGAATTTGGGAGGTCTGATATTTTTTTTTTTTAATTCTGTGTATGTTCTAGATAGTAGTTCTTTGAGGGACAGGGCTAAAATTTTTTCCCAATTTTCGTGGGTTTTCTTTTTACTCTTTATTTCTTTTGATGTGCAAAAACTTCAGTAAGATGCACTCATGTTTATAGCATGCAGTTTGTAATAGCTAAATCTTGAAAACAACCCAAATGCTCACCAACTGAGGAATGGATAAAAAAAGATGTGGTTTTATACCATAGAGTATTACTCAGCTATAAAGAAAGGTTTTTTTTTTTTTTT